CTGAGGACTCTTACAGAGGGGTGAGACATTTGTCTGTTGGACTCAAACAGTTTTTGCTAAGAAGGTGCAGTTGTTACAAAAGATTGGATTAAAATTGAAAATAAAGGTTCTATGCAGAAGACCATAAACAGACAAATCTGTATGTATGTGTTTGGTTCAGGTGAAGGTGATCCATGTGTTTATGGACGATGTTGCGATCTCCCCAACGGAGGGATTCCTGATCAGGAAAGGACCGGGCAACTGTCACTTTGACTTTGCACAGGAGATCCTTTTTGTAGACTTCCTCCAGACGCCCACAGACAACAAGAGTGCTGAAGACTACCATAAGTAGGAGCCAGAGTTTGCATTCGCTTGTACTCCTATTTCAGGCGAAAGTTTGAAATCTAATTTCCTAATTTATAATTTTGTTGTTTCTAATTCAGAGGAAGCTTTAAGAAACAAGAGCAGGCCAGCATGGACTATGAAGCTCCCATCATGCCTTGTGGGTGTATCCTTTTGTAGACAGATCAGATTTGTGGGTTCAGGGAACATTAACCCATCTGCAGCGGTTGCTTTGGTAACAACACAGGCATGCACAGTTCACTAACAGGTCTTTTTTTAACAGTGAAGAAAAACAACAGGCTGCAGGCTGGAGGAGGAAGATAAGGAGTGGAGATGCATCCTGTCCTAGTGCACAGTAATATTGAGCCAAAGTGCAAATGATACTGTGAATACTGTGTATGCAGCCATGTTGCCATGACTGTCACAGCTGGGTAACAGGTTAATAGTGTTGTGGTTGTAATGCTGTTACTGTACGTGCCAATCTAAACATTGCCAGTGTACTATCATGAATGAATGGAAAATAGAATACCAAGTTTTATATGTGCTGTACAACATGTTGTATATTCCTTGAACTTAACCCATCAGTCATTTTTCAGCTGCAGCTGTTAACAACCTGGGGAGACCCGTACTACATCGGTCTCAATGGCCTTGAGTTTTACGACCAGAACCATGAGAAAATCAGTCTCAGTGACAACAGTATCCTTTTTTATGAGTTCACATCGACCTTCACACATCTTATCCTCGCAAACTTGGACTCCGCTCACCAGCTGTAATATATCCATGCCATCAATTACTTTTTACATAGTCTGGTGATTGCTCGTGTTAGAAGTTGTGGTGTAAATCCATAGACAATGAGTTAAAATGACTATAAATCTTAAGGTCACAAATTATGAATATTGCCCCATACACTCAAATGGAACTTGTAGGAATTGGTATTATTGATTGCACATGTGCTTTTCCAACTGAAAATGTTCCTCAGAAGCTACATGGTTATCTTGGTTTAGCAAAGAATTTTTACACAGTTTCCATCATAAATCTATGAGAGGAAAGGCTTTACTCCAAACAGGAGAGGAGACCTAAAGAAGAGAGACATTAAAGGTTACAAAACCTTCTATAACTGCTACACAACCAGTCCTATTCTGATCAACTACATAGGGTGGGTGCATATAGTTAATGAATGTAATTGGTGGTAAATTAATGACAACTGTTGAAGGAGCATTAATAAATGTCTATTCCTTAACGTCCACCAGACATCGCTGCTTTCCCAGACAGTGTGAATGTACTGGACAACGTGAGTGGTGACGTGAGGACTCCAGATAAATTAGTAGATGGAGTCAACAGTACCCATGATGGAAGACATATGTGGTTAGCCCCGGTTCTCCCTGGACTGGTGAGGAAGTGTGAAAGAGAGGGAGAGAACATGACTGAGCACCCTGCAGTCAGTTAACACACTCGCATCAAAGTTTGCAGTTGAATATATTGCTTGTGTCCATGTAGGTGAACCGTGTGTACGTCATCTTTGATCAGCCAGTGACGGTGTCCATGATCAAACTGTGGAACTACTCGAAGACACCACAGAGAGGAGTGAAGGAGTTTGGGGTAAGCCTCTCTGTCTGCTGTGAGTTGGTCAGTCTTTTTTCTTTGTTTCTTTTGTGACTCCAGGCAGCAAAATCTGAATGTCTCTCTGTGTGTACAGCTGCTGGTGGACGACCTCCTGGTGTATAATGGTATCTTGGACAGTGTAAGCCACGTGGCACGAGGCATTCTGCCCACCTGTGATCCAGTGGTGCCCTACCACACCATCCTGTTCACAGACGATGCCTACATCGCACACCGTGAGAGGAATACTGTTATCAGGTACCCACATTTTCTAAGACCTAGATATATTTACAATTATTTTAACAAAAAATAGTTTGCTGGTCAGCACTGCATCTTTTCCAAAACATTCAATGCCAAATGGTCATAGACAGATGACTTATTACTAGTGAATTACTGTGAATGAATTCAGTGACATTTGATGAGGAACTGGCAGTCTGATGCAGAGACACTGATGGGTTGACAAAAAGGGTTACATTCATTCCCACTGTCCCAAGTAGCGAGTTGTTTTGAACAAAGATATGCTTTTCTCCACTTCAGCCCCCGCGGCAGCCGACACAACCAACAGTGAGTAACAGAGCCCCCTGAAAAGCCCCGTGTCAGCACCCCCCTGTGGTCAATCCCTGTATTGAAGAGTGCTCCAGTGCCCTCAAATGTCCCCCCAGACATCCCACACCCTTCCTTACCACACATTTTACATTTGATGCCTCAGTCCCTCCTCTCTCCCTCTCTCTCTCCTCTGTTACCTCTCTAGCCTCATCTTTGGTCTCAAGGCCTGGACCTGCTGGCTTCAAGCTTTGTTATCAGTCAGCCCTCCATTTTGTGTTGTTCTCTGTTCCAGTTTCCCACATGCACAACACATTGACTTAAATGCGTCTTCTGTGTCTTCCATTTCTTGCTGTGTTGCAGTAATTATGTGGAGGATCAGGATGTGAAGATGACCAATGAGAATCAGATAGTCCATCACAACAAGAAGAAGCAGACAGCAGATCCAGGTGAGTTGGGGAAACAGCTGGACTCAGGTTAGAGCCTTTTAGGTACATATACTCAGTAGTTGGAATATATTAATGTAAAAGCTTGTTTGTTCTCCCTCAATGCAGCTCTTCGACCTAAGACCTGCATGACCGATGGCGGGAAACATGGAAAGAGGAGGTACTGACTGACAAATAAACCGACAGATGTGGATTCAGTGTTCATACAAAGTGAGCAAAACTAAAGGGGAGGATCTATGGCTGACTTTTTAAACCCACTTTCTTGTGGGTGACTTTAAAAAAGCGCTATCACATTAAGACCCAAATCGGCCACCCAGCCGTGGTTTGGCAGCGGCTCACATGGTCCACGCTGCAGAGGACAGAGGCTGCACGGATAACAATGGGTTTTGAACACACACACACACACACACACACACACACACACACACACACACACACACACACACACACACACACACACACACAGGACGCCACTTTATGGTTGGATTACTCCCATTTCCGTTGCTGTGGAAACACACCCAAACATGCATATTATCTTGGAACATGTACTATGTCGTTGCCCCGGTTGTCCATCCCAGTGCCAGGATAAACCTGTGAGGCTGCATTTTATCAGCCCTATTATTGTGCCTAGTACTAAACACTATATCTGTGGCTGCTACTTGTGACTTTTGTGCTGCATATTTAAACGCTGCTTGTGGCGTGTAAATATTCAAAAAAAAAAAAAAAAATGTAAATAAGCTCCAAGGCCACACAAATACACTCGCATCAGGATGTGGCTGATGTAACATTTCTTAATGAATTTTATCCACTTATGAGCCTAAACGATCGGCTCCTTGCCTAATGGGTCTGAGAACTGACTAACACTCCCACCAGTGCACCAACCAACCATAATGCTATGCAGACACTAATTTATATCTTTCAATAATTTCTATCTGTTGGCTAATATATTTCAAAGCCTAATGGTTTTACTTGGAAGTGCTTCCAATGTTTTGACCTCTGGAAGATTTATATGGATGGTTAAAAGTGGTCCGTGAACAAGTACATTAGTCAGATTTTTTGTACATTTCAAGTAAAATATGGTGAAAACTTCTGAATATGTTAGCAAACTCCACACTTGAATTTTCAGTATATATTTGGCTCTACACAATTAGGTCAGTTTTATTTCTGCTTTACATCAGGTAGAAAAAAACTGGTTTGCAATCCAAGTGACCTTTTTATTGAAGTTACTATAAGGTGTTTTTTTTTTGGAGGCAAACATTTCTTGAGCCAGTGAAGCTGTTTTAGTAACTTGGTTGGAATTTTAAAAAAAAAAAAAAAAAAAAAAAAAATCTACATTTTCCAGTTTAGATTTTGAGTTGATACAGTTACAGGTAACTTCTTATATGCAAATACTATAAACTTACCTCACATTGAGAAGAATAATCTTTAAAAAGGGATAAATATGCTTCTACTTTCACTATAATACTTGGTTGTTGGTGTTATACTATTCATTCATTCAATATTTACTGTGCTAACTTGTTGCATGGGAAAGGTTCCTCAGCATTAGTGGTCTTAAAATGTTATAGATACTTTTTTCTTTGGAGGAGTTTTTACTGCTTCATTAAGCCCCAATATAAACTATTTCATACTCCTTACACTTAATGGGAGTAATTGTATCTCAAATGCAGTTTTATGTATTTAATTTCTGTATGTCCAACAGCAACAGTAGCCATTACTCTGTATCTCAGTCCTGCTCTGTAGGGTGGTGGCTGTTGTATGTGTAACATTTAGTGTTTTGAAATATTTAATTATTTTTCTAATCTTGATTAAATATGTATATTTGATGTAGTTTTATTTGACTGAATAAAATTTAAATAATATATCTTCCATTGGATTTCTGAAAAAGATGAACTCTTGTTTGCTGGTTTACAAAACATCCTTTTTGCTGTGGGTGAATGACTTGTGTCTGCTTTCTACAACAGGCCTGCATGTTCACACTTAAATGTACTCAGTTGACCTCACGCACTTCTCATCTAAGCCAACATGTTTACCGTACTCTGGTTGAATGAACAGCACACTGTAAAAAGAAAAAAACATAGGGGACAACCAAAGTCCATAAATATATCCTGAGATATTTTAATGCAGAATTCACTGTACATTTTTTGAAATTTGTAGGGAATGACCATTCAGTTGCAGTGTACTCCTGGGACAGAGCACCAGTAGAGGAAAGGTGGTGATAGAGCCACATGGTCTCCCACCACATACACAAACATTTAGCTGAAAAGATTACATCTTTGCAGTTCAACAGCTTTGAAGATGACAATCTTAGATTTTTCCTGGAAAGGTTCCCTCTTCTCTCTGGTCATCCCATTTCTGGATCTAAACAGACAGAATTTCAGAGTGAAACTTACTTTATGACATAAATATATCTATATTTTTAATTCACAAAGATTCAGGAAATGTGAAAAACCTTGATAAAATTCTCCAAGACTGATAATTACAAGTAAGAAACATGGCATAAACGTGCTGTGATATCACTATATGATATACAGACTATACAATATGCTTGGGGGTTTCTGCCCATTGAGAGAAATGCACCTGCAGTTTTTGTATCTGATATAATTTTGTAATGATTTAAGACGCCATATAGCAGAGAAAATAACATTACAAGTGATGCTGTCTAATGTATGAGGAACTGAAACTTAAGGCAGCAAGGCCATTTAGGGACCGGTGATGATTATTTCTGTTGGTATTTCAAATTGTTCCTAGGATTTGGCTTCAAAGGTAACTCAAATTGTGCTGCATTCTTTGGCTTATCTCTAAGTTTAGACTGAAACGCTTCATGTTGTTTTGATTCTCATTACTGAGCAGAGACAGGAACGCAGGGAATGATAAAGTTGTTTGACCCCTGCTAAATAAACTCAGGCCAAATAGGGGAGAGTACCACGTATATTCGGCCGTTACAATTCAACTTTTCTGTGTCTTCTTGTAAGGCAGTTTATGGAAAAGTTGACATGTGAAAAAAGTATTTACCCAGGACATGGGGCAGAGTGACTTGTAGACCCTCCTGTACCATTCACATGGCATGGTGTCTTCTCCTTTGGCGGTCAGAGCTTTCTGGCAGCGGTGATAGTCTATTAATAGAGAAACAACAACAATGAATATTAAAAAAAGACCATGGGCCTTGATCCATTTTTCAAGGCGAAGGGTCATGTCATGCCACAAGAAATCTCTAACTGGATTAACTCCAGCCCAGAGGTCAGAGGTCAACCACTTTTAAGATCTTAGGTGAGCTGTATTATCTTTAAACAAGGGCAAGTTTTACCTGACTCAGATTTAGGGCATCATTAATCAAAGTTTTTATGATAATACATTTACTAAATTTTATTCCTTTGTAATATCTAAATAGGACAACATGTCTGCAGAGTTTAAACATGTTCGATTAGTATTTTGTCTTTGGTTAGAAATGTCTGGAACCACAGCTGACTGCTTTGACCTTGACATGCACTCCTTACCCAGGTAGTTGGACCAGCAGTTCCTGGTCTGGTTCTGGTTGGGGAATCTGGCATCAAAAGGAGCAGTTCGGTAGTTTTCAAGTTTGGTCTTAATGTCCTCAGCCATTTTCACCTCTGTTAAAAGAGCACGATCGGTGGATACAGTAAGATCCAAGACAAAAAGCTTTAAAACATCAAGCGAAAGCTCATTTCAAACATCGTTACTCGTGTGTCATGTGTCAAATGCATGTTTACCACACAGACAGACCGACATGAATGCACCTGCAGCTGTAGCTCAGGTGTCTAAGCACTGACTTTATGTCATAGCTCTGTTGCAGAGGCTTATTTTTGGGAGATTTTGGGGGAGCTGCATGCGGCACCTGCAGGATCTTTCTAGAGACGTAGAGCTCTCATTAAACTACTCCTTTCACAGAGCACATTTATAGTATAACATAAAACTATATGCTTTAGTCTATATGACTATTTGTTGTAGACGATCAAACAAGCGTCTAATAATATCTATTTTACCCCCCCAAAAAAAGGAAAAACGTAGGAAAAGACATACGTGTTAACCGATATTGGCAAACAGCTTATCAATAGCCTCGTTCACCAGGCCTTTATAAGCATTTCCTCCTAACACAACCAGTTTCTCTTTCTATTTCACACAAACAGGTAATAACACTGGTATTCTTTAGTTTAATAATGTGATTAATTACTTGTGTAAGGTCAAATAAAGCCGGTGTATATGAAAAAATCTCCACGGGGAACTTGAATTAGTGTTATTTTCAGACGCGGCAGCACAGCCTTTTTTGACGACTAATCTCTCATTATGCATACATAGCCTTTAAAATACATGTTTGGTGTCTCGAGATTAATAGTTTAAAAGGAAAATGTAGGTATAAAGGTAAACGTTACCTTTTGTAGCAGTTGCTGGCTCGAGCTCAAAGTGACTTTTATACCGGACGGTGAAAGCGTGTCGTTCCTCTGATAAACTGTGTGCGCCCCACGCGCGCGCGCTCCGGTCTGAAGATATTGCAGCCGTGCAGTCCTATCATAACGGTATGGCGGACGCAGGTCACATTGAGGTGGCAGGCACACACTCACTCTCACAGTTCAGGCTATCTACACATGTCTACTTTATGTGCGGGTAATGAGAGGTGGCAGGGATGGCTGGAGACACCACGGGAGAAGCGTGGCTTTGTTTTATCGGGTTTATTTCCATGTGAGTTCAGCTGAACTCTTCTCAAGGCGGAAGTATTCTGCCATTCAGTGTTTTTGTTAATCATTAATAGATGTTTGCGCTAAGTATTAAAGGTAAATCAGGTGGTTTGGCTTGAGTTGCAGCGGTGAAAGAGAGAGACGTGTTATTTTCCTCTTTGAATGGGCTTCATACTGTGTCTGCATTCAGCAACGAAATAACATAGAAGCGACTGTGCTCATTTGTCCAAACCAGGGAGTCACTGTCTAGGAATTAACAGCTGCCAAATCATGTGGGGGCGCAGCGGCGATACTGTTTATGAGTCCTATCTAAAGTGTTGGTGGTGTCGCAAGACGACAGAGGAGCACAGTCCTATTAATGTGGCTGGTCGGTTACACAGCGTGTGGCGGGGAGTTTTCACAGTGCTCAGGTCCATTTAACTTAGAGAGCACCGACTTAAAAATCACTGATCTGAAAATGATAGAGAGTGGGCTGTACTGCTAGAAATTAATCCCACTTTACTGATAGGATGCTGACAAAGGCGTCCATCTAGTATCCTAGCATCATGACTCTGTAGTGCGCCCCTCCATCGCGCTCCCTACGGCTCCACTCCCCTCCAGCTTCGTCTCCGCGCCTTTTCCTGCCGTGAACGTTTTCCCCAAAAATAGCAGGTACGGTGGGCAAAGTGTTTCATGATCCGGCTAATTCCCTACAATAACCGGCTTCCCATTCCTACAAAGTAATTCACGAGGATAGGAGCCTATCAGCGGGCGTGCGTCATGGTGAAGAAATGACGCATTGCAATTATTTACGGAGTAAAGTGAATGGCACACCCCCTGTGGTACGTGACTAGCTTCAACATAACCATGGACCTCAAGTCAGGCAGGCGGCTCTGCATGCGCTTCATTGCGCATGGCAGCTACTGCATCTTCTCTTGTAACTCATTCACCAAGTGTCCATGCTTCAACACAAGAGGGCAGCAAAATGCGTTCTCTATATTATTGATTAGGACTTGTATGAACATATGAGGTAACTGGGCAGTATTAAATCTACAGTGTATGTACATAGAACAAGCAGACTAAAATGATGTTATTCCTCTCAGATAACTCAATTTGTTCTGTTTTGCAAAGAGGCCAACTTCAATTGCTAAAATTAGAAGGATGCCCCAGATACTTTGTACTTTCATAGTGTTTGCATCAATAATAAGAAAGAGAGGTTAAACAAAATCAGTTATTTTAAAATTGTTTAATATTGCTCAAATTCAAACATGTCAGGTCAGAAAGAAAAGCCAGCTCCAACAAAGACCTGTACCACAGGTTCAATATATTAATGTATAGCAAAAACAAGAAACTCATTTTCACTTATTTAAGTAATATATATCAGTATGAAAAGAAACTGCTTCATGAGGAGCTGTAAACCCACAGCAATAACCCAGTATTATGGTGATCCTTTGAGAATCAGCATCAACTTTCTCAAAAGGTTTAGTCAGAGTGCATTAGCATCACCAGTTACAGCATCTTGGATTAAGTAAGGGACACACACATTTTGATTATCAACAGCAGTACCAATAATTTCATGAACAGAATACATAACAAAAAATGTAACCACATAGTGCGTATTTTAAGGTTGGTGGTGTTTCTGTTGTATTTCAAGTTTCACCGTACATCTGCCTATTTTACTGGACAGAATATTTAATGAAAGAAAAGTAGCCCTATCATTGTGTGATCTTTAAGGACATTGTCATTTGAAATACACAGGAAGTACCACCTGTGATAGTGTGGGTCTGCTGCTACCTTTAAAAGCACAGTGCAACATACAGTTGCATAGAAACAAATAATAATCCAGCGTCTGCAGTTAAAAAAAAAAAAAAAGAGTATTGTATTGATTCATGAAAGTGCTAGAAACAATACAACAAGGCAGGTCCTCTGGATTCATCAGCAGGAGAACAGCATCTGTGCACAGTGATTGTCGCAGAACAAGTAGCTCTTTGGACACAAGATTAACTTAAATAAATGATTGTATGTATACAGTCAAGTCTGAAGACAGACAATGCCCAGTTTGTCCAATGGAGAGCAATGGAAGAACCCTATCAAATCAAGTCAGCCCATGTTTCTAAATAAAAATGGGATATTTTTGGCTGTCAGCAGTTGATAAGTCAGAACTAGTGTACACACTTTGGTTTACAAAGCCAAGTTAAGCCAGCGTACAGTCAGCTGTGCCAAACTGGTTTCAGCACTACATGTTACAGTTGGTCCTTTCACCAGTCGCTGAAGCGGAGTCGGTTGAAGGCCTCTTTGATGTCCTCATTGGTCTCTGAGCCTCCTCCGGTGCCAATACGGAGTACTTTGCTGTAAGGGACGTCCTGCTTCAGCTTTCTCTTGCTGAGGACCACAGTGCCTTCATCCCCCTTTGTCTTAGGCCCTGTCAGCAGGAAGTAGGCAGCATGGCGCCCACGCTCCAACAGCGTGGCTGAGATAAAAACACAAATTCAGTCACAAAAAGATTGTTATCTCTCCAAGCACTGAGTCACACATTGTAGTTAAATGATAGTATAATTTTGTTATAGAGCATAGGAAATTCAACTGCACCTTTAAATGTAATGATGTGGTCCATGACATTGGTGGACTCCAGAAGAACTTTAGAATAGAGTGGATGCAGCATGTAAGAACGTCGGTCACCAGTTAAAGGTTCCTAGAAGCAAACATTTGAGTAATATCAGCATTATGTAAATCTTGGAGTAACTGAGTTTCATCTGTGACATACGTCTGTCCATAAAGGCAGTGTACTTACAGAAGAGTTGGTCTCTGTTGGCATTATGCCCCAAAACACAAAGATTGAAACAGAGTTGGTGGTGTGTATTGAGGCAGGTCTTGGTGAATTCGGGCTGGCCAAAAGGTTGACTTCCCACAGCACACAACCAGACTTCCCATCAAGAATTATTATCTGCATACAAGGCAGGAAGTGGTAGTTAACCTACGATCCAACTCCATCACCAATACCATATGAGGAGCTGCACATAGTAAATAAAATGTAGGTATCACAAAAGTGTTTGTACTTTTTCACTCAACTTACCCTCTTTGTGTAGTTGCCAATATCCTCCTCAACTACAACATCAAGTAAACCATCTTTGTTAAAGTGACCAAAGGAGGGTTCACTGAGAGCACAGGGGACAACATGTATTTGACTCATGAAGCCTGGTTATAACAAAGGTAAGTGGTTTACTTTACTATAATAAAGAACTACCTGGCTTACATTTTCTACTGTACATATACAACTATATCTAAATCATTACTGGTAACACAAGATGTGCCAGAAAAATGTGAATGATCAAAACTGTTGCCTAATTAAATAAAATAAAAAAACAGAAGGGTTACCCGAGGACTGAACTGGTATTGAATCTCCACAGTAGCTGCAGATTTTTTCCATCAACTAATGCCACCTCCTTCCCGGTCACAAGCAGCAGGTTGGATGGATCCTGTGTTTCGTCTGTTCTGAGCACTTGTCTCACTGAGTCAGACCTACAAGGTAGAAATAAATAGGAGCAAAAATCTCTGGCTAAAGCCACAATGATTACAAGCTGTTATGTGAAATCCATGTTGGTGAAATAATAAAAAGGTTCTTCTTACTCATAGATAGGTACGAGGCCAGATGTTGCACTAGCATTTTTCTCCCAGTGTTTATCCCTCTTGAGACTGACCTCCATCCCTGCTTTAGCCTGGGCAGCAATCCTCCACAGTGCCAGTCCATACAAGCCCGTGTCTATGAACGAATACAAGATTACATTGAGAATAAAGTTCATCAAAATATTTATGTCTGTATACAGAACAACAGTTTACGTTTCTTTGTTCCAATACCAACACTGGGAAATCAAACTAAATCTGTCATGATAATTCAATTCTTGTTAAAACTGTGTAAAGATGCGATATAATTGTAAGAATGCTGCTTAGAAAGGTTATTTTTATAAAATAAAGTTTCATTAAAAACTTCTTAAATAAACTTTTTTATTAAAACATTTTAGTAAAAAGAAAAAGGGGTCTTTAAAGCTACGGCAGACTGTTATATTCTGCTGCTTTTGTGCCTCAGTCACGTCATGCTCTCTGAGTCAGTGCCAATTTTCAAACATTAGCACAATCCCAGTCAAATTACCTTGGTGTTCAGTTCTAATAATGGCTTTTGAACTTCTTTATAACTTTCAGATTTAAAGAGCACCTGAACTACAATTTTAATTTCTGGCATTTTTTTTTTTTTTTATAATTTCAATACAGTGCAGCATCTCCTCCGTTAGGAAAGACTTAGCTGGCCTGAATGCAGATATGCAGTAACCTGTTGGGAACGCCATAGCTGATTTCAGATACTAACCTTTCTGGAGCAGTACATAGTGAGAACCTTCTGTAGTGCAATGGAGAAGATGTTTGGGTGTCTCTTTGGAGTCAAGAGCTACTGTAGAACCGATCTGGACACCCGTCTTCCCTGAGAGGAAAACTAGCTGAGTCTGCAGATATGATGGGAGACAATGAAATTGGGTAAATTCTATTTCCCTGCAACATTAATAGATTATTTCACTGCCAAAGCGAAAGTAATTTATTTGCATATTTGAAGCCTGTTACAGCAGGTTATTAGCAAGGACAATGCAAAAAAATACACACATTTCAAACAATGAGAATTATAATATAACTCAGTACTTGCTCTGTGTGATACAACAGAAGTAAATAAATGTAGCTGTAACAAATAGCATCACTGATGTTTACCTGTGTGTTGTCAGACGCCACCAGAGCCACATCATTGACCTTGTCCCCATCCAGATCTGGGACACTAAGAACAGGCACAGTGCTGTGCAGATCAGGGGGCTGACGGTGCT